GGGTACATTCATACAAGAAAGATTTATATTCACACACATTTCACGTAAACTTGTTATCCTATATTGTGAGACTCTCTCTCTCTCTCTCTCTCCCCCCCCCCCCCCCCCCCCGTACGTCCGAGTGCGGGATATAATTCCTTGTAGTTATAATCAGAATCTCCTTGAGGGAGAACGTGATACTTGTATATAGATCTATATTGGGTTTGACACCCCACACCTTGCTGCTAGCTACAGTTGGACCTGCAGGTCTACGGGTGACAAATGTCATTTTAATTTTCGCGACACCTGAGAACGTCGTGGCAGGTTCACATAGTCATAGTATGATTATAGCGACTCACATAGGGATATAACAATCCATAAGTTTACGGGATTTTATTTTTAAAACCTAAATGAGTTTTATGTTGATTTAAAATCACTTTTTATCTCTATGAGTACAGATAATTACTGTACACTTTTGGTTTTGGTAGTTACGACTACACATCATTTGAAACCACATTTATACTTTTAAGTATGGTCAATACTTGTTATTACTCGGTCCTCTAATTTAGGACTACATATATATAATGTATTAACAAACATGAGAACGTACAGAAATTTCATTTAATTCAAAAGCGTCCATGTCCATTTAAATACATAACATTTTCTATTAATAAGAAAGGTTACTTATACATTTTGATCTTCAGTCATAAGACTACATTACACAGATTTTAAAGAAAATATCGGATTTTCTAGATACATATTCTAACGCTTTTACAAGGAAAACGATTTACTTTTCTAACGAAATCTCTTATGAACTCACCAACCTTTGTGTTGACACTTTTCAAAACTACTTGTATTCTCAGGAATTCAGTGAAAACAGGAAATCTACAACGTTTTGAGGATGGGACGATAAATCGTCAAACAGTTCATTTTGTATCATAATGTAATTGATGTGAATCATGTAAACATGTGCTTTGATGTAACGTTTTCAATTATATTTGTGTTGGTTGTATTTACTTTGATCACTATTATACTCATTGTTGTGATACTCTACATGAAGTCATCCACCCTCGGACGTTTCCGCCATCCTTGGTTTGGGGGTGTGACATAAACACTTATACAAGGTCCTTGGAAGCTTTAAAGCCCTTTAGCCTTGTCCCATAACAACCTAGAAGCAACCCTTAGGACCTATAACACTTATACAAACTGTTTACATGTTCCTGAGTGTCCCAACTTATTTTATTAAGTTATTATATGGCTAATTAGTTATATATATGCCCATTATATGATAACTAGGCTCGTGCGTGTGAACAAGTCTCTGTTTGCCACCTAGCACGGTATCCGATACTTCAATCCAATCCACTCACCACAAGTGAGTTCATACCCCTTTAATTAACCTTTGAAATGCTTTTAAATGTTTTAAATACTTTATGGGGGGGGGGGATACAAGTTAAATACTTATAGTTATTACATCAATCACATGTGATTACATTAATCACATGCGATTAATAACTAGAAAACCAATGATTTTATCACTGTTTAAACTGTTTATCAAACTATTTTACTTCAAAATGTTTTACAAACTCTTTTACTTATCAAATGCTTTTATTAAACTTTGTTTTACTTCTTATAAATTGCATGCCCATATATGTATAGATATATAAGAAATGTTTAAAGGGCTTAGGAAGGCCATCCGCCCTATTTCCTTTTTCTCAATTCGGATGTGGTCTGGTGGGATTTTGGATAACCATCCGAAGGTCGTTTCTATATTAGTTATATATCAAATATACAGGTATAGACATAAAAGTACTTCCATATTCATACTTATCAGTACATCATCAGTAAGTTACCATCGGGGTAACATAGGATCATACTACTACAATTTCTAGATAAATGAGTAAGTTTATTCATGAGTTAATACTTATTACTACGAGTACTTATACAACTATACTAGAAAGAGAACATATACAACTATACTAGAAAGAGAACTTATACAACTATACTAGACAGAGAACATATACAACTATACTAGAGGAAAAAACATATACAACTATACTAGAACAGTTCATTATATTACAAATACAAGAATACGTTAACAATTGTGATCCACTGTATCGGAGCATGCCTTAATTGTCATTGCCCGAGTTGTAGCCAGAATTCTCTTGGAGGGAGAGCGTGAGTTTGCGTATAGATCTATACTGGATTGACTATCCTACACCTTGCTGCTAGCTACAGTCGGACCTGCAGGTCTGCGGGTGCCAAACGTCATTCCGTTATTACGACCATTCGTATGTCGTTTTTACCAGTCGATAGTATGGTGCAATTTATCACATGATACCTTAATATAAATCCGGTTTAAGGTACAAACTATATTTTGTTAAATGATAGTTACACTTGGGAAATTACACACTTTTACAACAAACGAGCATACAAAACAGTTAAGCCTTGGTAGAAGGCTACTTTAATAGAAAATATAGGTTTTTCTGAGAGATTCAAACTTGTACAAACACTTACAAACACTTACAAACACTTACTTACATTTTACAAACTTACACTTGATACATGTTCAAACGTTTTTGGATGACAAATACCGACACTAAAATACTTATGAACTCACCAGCTTAATGCTGATAAACTCTTTCAAAATAACTTGTATTCTCAAGTCATCAGTAGATAGGTACCGAGGCCAGCTTTTGAGAATATGGAGCGCGTCCAAGACTCATCTTATTATTTTGATTTACATTATTTTTGGTGTTTATAACTGTACAGAACACGCTTGTATTAAAATTATATATTTAATGCAATGGATGATGTTGTTTGCTTATTTACATTTACTGTGTTGTGATACTTTACATGATGTCCTCCGCCCCAGAACGTTTCCGCCGTTCTTGGTTTTGGGGTGTGACACAAAGGCATCTCTCCTAACATGAAATTATGAGTAGATCCTTAGTCCTAATCTAGCATGCAATTCTCATAACATACAATCATAAAAAACATGCATGAGTATTCTGAGAATCACTTACACGAGATCGGCTGATTGTACGCATCGCCACTTTATTTTATTAGAGAATCCTTTATTAAAACATTTATTTTATAAAAAAATTACCAAACCCTTAGTTTGAGTTCAGACACACCCGAGAGTGTGTCCAAATCCCTCAAACCATGGCTCTGATACCAACTTGTAACATCCTAAAAGTGGTAAGGCAAAATTTTCATTTTTAATTCAACCATAAACACCATTTAACATTTCCAATCATTCAAAAGTGTAACAAAGTAAAAATATTTATTAGATTATAATCCCAAAATACAAAGTAGCGGAAACATGGGTGGATACAGTGCAGTCATGCTGAGCCCTTCTCTTTTATACTAGAAGTACCTGAAACCATAAACAATAAACCGTAAGCACAAAGCTTAGTGAGTTCCCCAAAATACCACATACCATACATACAATAGAGTTTGTTATATGCCAACCATATTCTAGTCATTATGCCATGTGCAACATCATGGTTTTTCCTTGCTAAGCCCGGGGGCCAAAACCCTAGGTCTTACGGACAAGTGCCAAGACCACCTCCTAGTCTTCCATGCAAGTATCACAAATACAACTAGCATACTATCTACACACACACACACACACACACACACACATATATATATATATATATATATATATACCTATCTGCCAGGGTTCGATCCCTGGTCTTGCATACAATTTGCCGGGAGCCCCCTCCAAGTCTTTCATATAAATGCTAAGGTCCACCCCATGGTCTTCCTACATATCATAAGCCAATGGGTCGACATTGGTGCCTTCGATCCATAGTATAGTGATGAGACTCACCAAAAGCTGCTAAAAGCTCGGATCGTTGATCCAAAAAATCCCCGCACTAGCATCATCAATTAATAACTAATTAATAATTAGTCCACAAACCATAACTGGAATCCTAGTCCGGTTGTCCAACACTTAGGGTAAAAGTCAATTTTACCCTTTCCTTACTTAGCCTAAAATCCAAGGCCCAAACCAATAGCACCAAAAAGTCCAATATGGCCCAACTTCCTAATTGGGCCCAAAACCCGTCATGGGCCTAATCCAAGAAGGCCTAAATTCCTAAAAGAAAACCAAAGATCCAGATGGGTCCAAGCACAAGAAGGCCCAAAGACAGAAAACTAAGGCCCAAAAGCCTAAAACCACATCTCAAGTTGTGACCAGTCCTTGGTTACGTCATGAGAGCTCACTCGATCTGATCCCATGTCATCACAACTCAACCTAGCTAACTCAATTAAGGAATGACACCTAAGCTGACCTCACAACGTGGGCATATTTTCCTTACATCATGAGAACCAATAATCTCATCAGAAATAAGATCAACCACTCTTCACACCGTGAGACCTTGTGTCTCACATCGTGAGAACAGTCCGAGGCCAAAAATCCAACTTTTAAGTCCTTAATCCATTAAGCCTTAAACTCTAACTTTCCAGAAGGTCTTATAACCTCTTAATACACTAGAAAGTCGATGCTTTTAAGACATATATGTCTAATACATGTCTAGATCTCATTAAGGTCCAAAGTTGAAGAAATAGGCATCCAACTTTCATGCAAGGTTCCAAAACTCAACCATTCTCTAGATTTGAACTCCAAGACATCCCTAAGGCCCTCATAACCCATAAAGTTGCCAACTTTATGGTTTCTATTCATTCAAACATGCAAATCAAAGAAGAAAAGTGGGACAAACCTTAGATCTAGCCTGATATAACTATAAAGGTAGGAGCTTTATCACTTACAATGATCCAGAAACAAAACAATGTAAGGTGATGTTGATGATGATTCCTTACAAGCCACAACATAAGACCACCTTCTTTTATTCTTATTTTCTCCTTATTCCAAACCAAGAAAAGCTCCAAAACCACCAAAGATCAAGCAAGGATGAGCTATAGGGTTTTTCTGAGGTGAAAGAGGGTTTGGGGTTGATAAGAAACCCAAAAATGAGGTTAGGGATGCTTAAATACGAATGAAACCCTAAAAGATCATGGACTTGGGCTGCAGCAGCTCCCACACTATGAGCTCTTATTGCTCACGTTGTGAGCTCAGTCCCGGACAAAGGTCTTCATGCAACCCATCTCACGTCGTGAGCCTTTATGTTTCACGTCCTAAAATCCTTTGGGGTGTGTGCTGTAAAGAGGTAGTGATAGTTGGATTGTGGGAGGGTGGGGGTTACAAAGGAGATGAAGAAGATGGGTGGAGGGTGGAATCTTTTTATTTTTATATTAAAGTCATTGTAAGATGAGTATAGAAAGAGGAAAAGTAAAAGTAAAAAAAGAAATAGGAAGGGTAAATTACCTTCGATATAATTTTCATGAAAACCTATTTAATATTTTGGATCAGTGACCAAATTTGAATGTAACCAACCCACAGTGACCATTTTTGTAGTTTACTCTATATAAGATATAAATTGTATTGTATTCGACTTTCTTGTTGGGTTGTTAGGATACATCCCAACTAATCGTTTTTCCAATTTTATAAGATTTAAATCGAATGAGATAAACATGTAAATATACGACATTTTCTCTTCATATTATTCTACATAGTACATATCATATCATATATGGTATGAAGTAGCCTTGGTCGATTAGAGAACCTGGATTGGTAACGGCCTATCGCTCCCCTTGTGGCCGCCGCCGAAAACACAGACGGACGCCGATTAACTTCGACAAGCAAAGCATGTCTAAATCAACAGTGAGGTCACTCCAAACGATGAAATCTCTAAATCGTATCTATAAGGTATGCAATGGTACAAATACTTCACGCAGTTATTGCATAGATAGTTCCTTCAAAGCCCTTCCTTTTGCTAAAAAAAATTGCACGCTCAATTCTGATACCATCGATGAGATCTTTGATCCCCAAAACCCTAATCAGTTCCCACGCACTGGGAGTGGACAGGACTGGTCTTCTAGAGAAAGTCATATTGAATATAGCCAACACCCTAATGGATTTTATAGAGAAACTTCCATGGGTTTTCATAGAAGTTTAAGTGGGTGTGGGGCTTATGGGCAGAGCTATTACATGGGTGATCATGGTTTACATTGTCACAACCAATATAACGTCAATGGGTCTTATACTGCAGCAAATTTTCAAATCTCAAATAGGTGTTATAGTGGCATGGTAAATTCTTAACCTAACGAGAAGTCACATAAAGCTGGTGAGGGAAAAGGATTACTTGAGGAGCTTAATGCTTTATGCAAGGACAAGAAGTTAGAGGAAGCTGTTGAGGTTTTAGGTTTACTTGAGCTGAAGAAAGTAACAGTTGAAATGCCTAGATATCTATTCTTGATGAAAGCATGCGGAGAATCTCAGGCACTTAAAGAAGCTAAAGATGTCCATAACCACCTCACAAGGTCAGGTCATTATTTTGATGTTCACATTTGCAACCAAATCTTGGAGATGTATTCGAAATGTGGTTCCATGGAAGGCGCATATAAAGTGTTTGATAAAATGCCCAAAAGAAATCTTACTTCTTGGGACACCATGATAACAGGGTTTGCTAAAAACAGCCATGGAGAAGACGCAATCAAAATGTTCTCCGAATTCAAAAAGATCGGATTAAAACCTGATAATCAGATGTTTCATGGTGTTTTTGTTGCATGTAGTGTCTTAGGAGACATGAAACAAGGGTTATTGCAGTTGGAGTCAATGATCAAGACTTACAATCTTGCCCCATCCATGGATGATTATTTCCCTGTAATTGATATGCTCGGGAGTTCAGGCTACTTGAATGAAGCATTAGAATTTGTAGAAAAGATGCCCATGAAGCCAAGTGTAGAAATTTGGAAAATTATGATGAATCAATCTAGGGTTCACGGTGATTTAGAACTCGAAGACCATTGTGCTGAGATTGTTAACCTACTAGACCCTTCTTGTTTAGATAAACAACTAGAGAAAGCCTTCATACCAATAAAGCCTGCAAATATTGCAAAACAAAAAGAAAAAGGAAAAAATAAATCATCAACGTTGAATCTCCTAAAAATTAAAACCGAAACATTTTCGTTTAGGGCCTGGGATACATCTCCCCCTGATCATGAGAAGTTATACAGTCAACTTAGGTGTCTAAAACAACACATGGTAGAAGTCGGATATGTGGCCCGGACTAGATTGGTACTCCATGATGTGGATCATGAAAGTAGAGAAGAATATCTTTTATCACATAGTCGCATGCTTGCTTTATCCGAAGCACTTTTGATTAGTCCGGCCCGGGCACCAATAAGAATAATAAACAATCATCGTATTTGTGCTAATTGCCATGATGCGTTCAAGATTATTTCAAAGCTGGTTGGAAGATCAATCGTTGCACGTGATGAAAGGAGGTTCCATCATTTTTAAAATGGAGTTTGTTCTTGTAGAGATTATTGGTGATTATTTGGACTTTATATTTGGTTTTCTTTGACTAATCTTATTGACACTATCCTATCTATGATTTAGTTATCTATATGTACATGCTGAGAACAAAATTCTTATCTGATGTTATGGATTATCTTGTCTTTTTATTGAATACATATTGGGCATCATTCTCCCAAGCTATTTTTTCATTCCTTTGCATGGCAATTTTGTAAGCTTATATTCTTTTTAAGGAATTGGAATATAAACAATCTACACAAGTATAACATTGTACTTTGAGGGTTTTTTTTTTTCTTAGGAGGGCATTAAAATTTTAAAAATCTACCCAATTATACTATTTGAGTATAACTTGTATGACACTGTTTTCGCAAACACGCATGATAATTTGTTTATATTTCTTTTTACCAGCTTTCTTATTAAATATTTTCATGTTCATCATAAATGACATTTGAGTGTGTTGTTATACTGCTTAATTTCAAAAAAGTTTGAGTAGATAATATTTGGGACAATGTTTTTTGAAAAGTTACAATTCCGTCTAATTTTTTAATATAAAAGTACAGAATATTTGATTTTACATGATAATAAAAAAAATTTGCTAATTAATTTAAGCCCAAATCAAATAATCAGGACTTTTATGTTCAAATTTTTTTTGGGGCTTAATCGTAACTTTTCTAAAAATATTAAGACTTTTATGACAATTATATATATATATATATATATATATATATATATATATATATATATATATATACACACACACACACACACACACACACATATATATATATATATATATATATATATATATATATATATATATATATATATATATATATAGGTTTATGTTCATTTGAAACCATTCTAATTTCTTGAGACCGTGAGATCAAATCTAAAAATAATTTTAAAATGCAAAATAAAAGCAAAAATGCAAAAATTCTTTTTTTAAATATTATTTTCGGAATTTGAATTAACTAAAAAAAATAAAATATAATAAAAAAAAATCCCGTTTTTTTTTTAAAAAATACGTGAAATATTCTAATAGAATATTACACTAACATATTATAAAAAATAATTTTAAAATGCAAAATAAATGGAAAAATCTAAAAATTCTTTTTTTAAATTTTTTTCGGAACTTGAATTAACTAAAAAAAATCTATTTATTTTGAAAAATACGTGAAATATTCTAATACAATATTACACTGTACATATTCTAAAAAATAATTTTAAAATGCAAAATAAATGCAAAAATCCAAATTTTTGTTTTTTTTAAATATTATTTTCGGAACTTGAATTAAATAAAAAAAATACGTCTCATCGTCTCACAAAATTAGATCGTCTCACATAAACTTAACCCTATATATATATATATATATATATATATATATATATATATATATATATATATATATATATATATATAATAAAGTTGTGTAACCTTATAAACAGTAAACTGCTTAAGTGGTTGGCAAAATTGGTCTTTTGGCACTAAAGTTTGTAATGTTGGTAATTTGCTTCCTTAAATTATTAATAGTGGTGTAAAGATATGAACACTGATACGTGTCATTCCCACGTCTCCCCCACTGGTTCTGCCTCGGTTCCTGTGCTTCCTAAGTTTTTTTTTTCTAAATTCCTTACATTTCTGAACGACACTTTTAGACACAGCCACCAGACGATCGACTCATTACTCTTTGTCATCCAGTCATATTCAGATTCCACTGCTTTTCGAAAACACTCGTCTCCCTCTAAACTCATTAGCTTTAGAGAGTCAACGTCGTACAATCGATATCCATCTCCTCACCCTTCCGTTTCTACACCGGCTTCCGAAGTGTGTGACACACACAATCCTCCATCGGGTTATTGCAAAAAATGACCACTGCCTCTGGCTCCAGCTCAAATAATCTCACCGTCACTGGAATTCCATGCCTCCGGTCATTTTGGCGCCTTCGTGATTATATGGCTGCTGAACGGGAACAGATTTACACAAAGCATGAGAGTATAAGAAACAGTTAGGAACAAACCGTGGGGGAGATTGATGCAGTCGGAGATAGCGAGTCCAAAACCCAGATTGCAGGTATGAGATGTTGCTAACCCATCGTCACCCATCGGCCACCGATAAGTCTCTTGGTTTTGCCTGATCAATCATCGGGAAATCAATGAGGGAGGGCGGCGATTGTTACCTGCGATGGTAGAAGCAGCGGCGACGGCAGATACAGGTCGTCGGCGGCAGCAACAACAACATCTGGTGGAACAGTCACCTATGAGGTCTAAAGGTCATTTAAGTAATTTTACTGAAGTTGTAAGATGTTAGATGAAATGGGGTTTTCTTCATTGTATCTAATCGTCACAGGAAGTTGAAAATAATTTTGATGCACAACACCTGCTCGATTAAACGCCTGAACCAAATCTTATTATTATTATTTTCTTTTTAAAACCCCATAAAAATTTTCCACAACTGTTGTTTGTTACTACATATCTCTCAAAAGCTAATGTTCCAGCTTGTATAATTCATTAAAGGATTTAATAGTTTTTTCAAAATGACTTGATGGATTCATGTTGCAGACCAATTGTTTGTTGCTGAAATGAGTATGAATGATTCTTGGTTTCGTGACAGTGGTGCAACTGTTAACTTCCTTTTCCATTTCACCTTTCTTTTGATCGATTTTCTGTATTACTTTTTAATTTCTTATTAAATAATCCTTTTCTTTTACTCTATAGTTTGTTGTAATTGAGTGGAAATCAAGTTCAGGACATAATGTTGCTGATATTAATTGGAACTTCAATAGTTGGCGAGGTAGGCTTTCTATTTTAATAATTTTGCATATTTTATTTTATCAAATAATAAATATTATCGATACATATTTTTGAAGCTTCAAAAGATTTACATCATGTATAAAAAAATAACACCCCAATTTCCATCCTCTTAAATTTTTCTTAAAAAATTTCCATTAATTTTGGTTTTGCTTTTTCATGTTAGATTCTTTCAATGGAGAGGATTCCCCGTTTTCCACAATCCATGATTCTTGAAGATGGAAACGTTCATGTAGATGGTGAAGGTGATAACTTTTATATTGTTGTTTGTGTATTTTATTATTAGGTAGATTTTTACTAATTTGATATCTCATATTTTTTTAGGGACATGGATTACTAGGGAAGAATGGTTATTGAACAAAAACAGGAATGCATATCTGACCAAACATACACGTTGTGGGTTGGTGGTATTGTGTTGTAGGTAAATGATTCAGAGGCTTGGGCCATCTCCATCATGGAAACCGACCGGCCTGGGTCACGCTCAGGATCCGCAGCGAGGTGGGAGGCAGGGCACTGGTGCTAAAATCAAAAGGAAGGTTGGGACAAACAAGTAGTAAAAGGGGGTAAGTAAAGTAACAGGTGCTTCCAATTTCTTCGATTATTAACCAAGTTTTCATTTTTTGGTTTCTTTTCTATTGGGTTTGATGAACTGTGTGGTTTCTATTATATTTTGTAGGACTTGATTAGATATCCAATGATAACACTAATTTCATATAAAATTAATAACCAGGGCTGCAAATCTATGTAACAGAATAAGTGAATCAATGAATCTAAATTAGGATGGAAATTGAAGTCACAAACATGGAGAGTAAGAATTTAACATTGATTACCATGATAATCGTGAAGTTTTTGTTTAATTTTAGAATCAACATCATAAGAAAAAACATTATTATATCCAAACGCATCATAATTTTTTTGAAATCCCTTATAGGATTGTTGGATTGGCATCGGCGACGACAGATTGAGTATTTAGTGATTTTGATTTTGATTTAAGATTTCCCCCAAAACCCAAATTAAAATGAAGACTCAATTGCTTAATATAACATGTTTGATTTACAATTCCGGAAATCTGTAGGTCTTACGTGTTTCATTTTACACATAAGAAATATTGATTTTGTCATTTTTTCAGATATGCAAACCTGTTTATGTTGATATTTGAGACACCCACTACCGGATGAAATGCTTCACCCAGGTTTCTAAATTTTCATTCTCAACCATCTTTTCAAGCCGGAACTAACTATTGTAAGTGGCAATGGTGGTGCAGGTAGAGGTTCATGAATGAAAGAAAGCTAATTGAGTGATGTTATTGATAAGGTACTACAAATACAATATCTACTTTCATAAATACAATTATTTTTTCCATTCTTCATATTCTGATAAATTTGTTGTTGTTGTTGTTTACAGAAATGCAAACAGAAGTCCAAATGTTGTAACTACTATGACTTCTTTCATAATACAAGATCAATGAAACCTACAATCCTTCATTTTCAGGTTACTATATATGATATATCATTACATGTGACAATAGTCAATTTCGGGTCAAGTCAAAGGCAAACAAAGTCAACAAGTCAAACCGGATGACTCAATTAGCCCTTGTATATTAGGGTTTACATTGTGTAATTACGAAACAACCCGCTATTTTAATAAGAAAACATCAATTGGAAAATTCGTACGTTTGAATTTCCATAACCGTGATAATGCTAAATATTGAACCAAAGCGATAAAACACAATTACACACTCATCGGGAGTGTGTAGGACACTAAAACATGGCTTAATGGGGTCTACGGACCTTGCATTGCGAAGCCGGACACTCAAAAATGTCACAAATGAAGCCTCTCTCAGACGTATTTCCTCTATCTCTCTCTATTTTAAATCTCTCCTAAACTCTCAAAAGTTCCCGTAACTTTTCATAGTCTTTCGGGCCATCCCGACCCTTAACCGGGTCAAAAACGGATTTGAAACGGGTAAAACAGCCTTAAGGAGCCGAAACTCCTCTTAGGAGCCGAAACCCCTAGGACCGAACCTCTAAAGCAGCCGAAACCCCAGGACCGAAACCTCTGAAGCAGCTGAAACCCTTAGGAACGAACCTCTGAAGCAGCCGAAACCCGGGGACCGAAACCTCTGAAGCAGCCGAAACTTGGGGACTGAAACCTCTGAAGCAGTGAACCGAACCTGT